TTCCCATTGTCCTTAAAGAATATTGATATCTCCGTCAATCGCATTCCAGGTGTCAATCTACGGGCCGTTTCATTGAGCGAAAGTCTACATAGTGATAATGCTGGTGAATAAATCCTGAAGCGGTCATAACACGTCGTCTACAGTAATGAGAACGGCATAGTATCTTTTTTAGTGGCTTAAATATTAATAAGTGATAATGAATAAACCAAGAAGCAAAACCGACTTTTGAGAATTTTAATTAATTCGAATTTATTAGGTATGAAAATTAAATTTTATTCGCCGTCGAATATCCGCAGTGTAGGTACCTCTATATTTATTACATTCTGCTGTGTACAGGTAGCCATCACCTAACTTTGCTGCCTACATAAAGCTTTATTGTTCGATACAAGCTTATTACGCGTTATATCTACCAAAATTAGTTTGAACAGAATTGATGATCGTACTGAAAAATAATAGATAGCAAAAAAGAAATCACCCAATGTGTTTTTCAGTTTGTTCCGAAGCTAATTTCATAGGAGTGGTAGGCCCATTTATCATTGTCTTCGGAGTTTGTTTTTGTTGTATCATTTCTCTCGCTATTATAAATTGATGTCTATGAATGTAGAATGTTGAAATACAAGTAAAACAACAGAAGTGGTATACTCGGGATTCCCCCCATTACAGTTGGTAATGAATACTCCATTCTAAAACGCATTTTTTGTATGAATAAACACTTTTTTCTTCATCCCTTATGTTTAAAATATAAGGGTGAACTCGGAAGGTAAATTTTCAGTATGCTTACTCTTAATTTCAATGTTTGAAAATATTATTGTGGTTCAGTGGTGTTTTTGTAATACATTTTGTAACTTCAACGGCCACAGCAGTTCCAGTGCTTCCACCAAAGTGTCACAAAAGATGGTTGACGGGACACAAAATGGCGCCAACTGCCGGCCTCGTGCATGAAAGAAAAGCGAGCGGGCCTTATACGGGTTGTAATTCTGAGGTCGAATTTTTACAACTCCAGCCAGAAGTTTTGCAGAAACAAAAATTATCAATGTCTCGTGCCCGGTTAATGAACCATAAATCAGTTAAACTATCGTTACTTTGTAAGTTTATACGTTAACGGATTGGAGGTCCAGACGTTTTTAGATAGCCATTCATAATTAAATTAATACAGTATATCGGCTGGGTTTTCAGGCAGAAAATCTAAAGCAAAAGTTAAATGAATGTATCGTCTCTATTTATCTGAAATGCATTTAAGTCCCTTCATTTTCCAAGTACGCTAATGGAACGTACTTCAGGTTAGGTACACATTATATTTAATAAAGGTAAAAAGTTGGATGCGCTTGGAAACAATCCAGTGGTCGATACTTTCGCGTTTATCCCGTATGTTGTTGCGGACTGCCGGATTTTTCATGAGTATTGCACTGTACATATATTCAAAACCAGATGCAGTTTATCTCCTCAAAGAAAAAAGTAATTAGGTCGTTGGCATCGTTTCGGAGTTTATAAAGTTGGAACACGTCTCCAACTCTCTGTCAATCGGCCAAAGTTATTTTAGCTAATTAGCTGTAAAATATCGTTCCCGAAGGAACATTAAAATATTGACAGTGTACACAGCTGCTGCTGGTTTCATTAGAGAGCCTTAGATTAGAGTGATTTGGGGTAGTCGAAGTTTCTGTATCGACCAAACCAGTGCATAGGAAAACTCGGCTTTTAGATATTTCTATTGAGATCAGTATCTAGGACATGAGTAAACATCACGTAAGGATAAAGTAAGGGATCTCCTTTGACTTTTCGTATAAGATGTTTTGATAGCGGCTCTATTCTGTTATCGATCCGTATTAATAAAAAAGGCTTCAACCTTTTTAATAAAATGTCTGGTGGTGAGTGGTGTGAGCAGGTGGTGCTATTTCTATTACTTGAACATTGGATGGTAATTTTGATAGGTACATAAAGGCTATAATTATACTACTGGAAATTACGATACTTGTAGGTGTTTTGAGTACACAGTCTGAAGTCGCCTGTCACAGAAGAGAACTTCCTAGGACCGGGTCTCTGATGCTGCCGGCTTCGCATTTAATATTGCCTACAAAAAATATTCACTCGCGAAAGGATACACAGATTATCACTATAATAGCGTAAATTCTAGGATAATACGTTAATGTCATGTTAACGCGTCTGCAGACGATTGAATACTAACAGGAAATAGAAAGAAGTTCTTTACAGTAAGTGCAATTAGTAACAAAGAATGAGTGATCTCGTTTTGTGTTGCAAGGTCGTGCCTTGGGTTTACTATAAAACTATACAGGCTGTATCATTAAAGATATAGAAAACGTAGGTACTTTGTTGGACACTCCCTGTAAATTGAACTCAACCAGTTAGGTACTACATTTTTTGTCTGTAAAGATAAAATATATACTCAAACTTACATTAAACTTTTTTTGTGTTCTCAAAATTAATGAAGTGGGAGTCAAAATATACAGAGAAACTGTCTACCATTTCTTCAGAATTTGTTAAAGTGATTAATTAAAATCTTTCTGTATTTTAACTAAAATTTTGAAGTAAGGAAGATATCTGAAGTACGTAGTAATAAATTTACATATACAGAGATATTCATTAAGAAGTAGACATAGGGATTTATGTGTATTGTTTTTCCCTCTGTCTACTTTTAAATGACAAAATCTCTTCTGAAGGGCGCCTAATTTTATGCAGCCAAAATAACTTCTTAAATCAAATAAAGATCTGACTGTCACATTAATTAATTTAAATATTGTTGCTTTGGGTTCCGTATTTTTATTTTCGTTCGTGTGTGATGTATTCAACTGAAGGAGGAGTTGATATTGTCAATTGACATAGTGCCGAAAATAGTTTAAGGAGCGTAAAATATTTATTTTTTGTTAATCCAAAGCAACAATATTCAAATTAATTAATATGACAGCCAGATGTTTATTTGTTTTAAAAAGTTATTTTAGATGCATAAAATTAGGCGCCCCTCAGAAGAGATTTGATCTTTTAAAAGTAGACAGAGGGAAAAACACACGTAAATCCCTATGTCTACTTCTTAATAAATACCACTGTATAGACCTGAATCCATAAATCTACAAACCTGAATTTATAAACCTAGTTTATGAACCTTGGATGATCTTAAGAATGTAACCACATAAAAAAGTCATTGACCTTGGCTGGCCTTGAAAATGTAATTGTCACTTATAATTGCACAAGAGGTTTGTATTTTACCGAGTAAATTTGGGTTGTTTAGGCAATGAAAATCTGTTGCCTAGCAATTAGACGAGAAAAACTGTCAACTAATAAAAATGCGACACCGCAGGTGGAGCATTTTTAGGTTGACAGTTTTTCGAGTCCAATTGCTAAAAGGAAACAGATTTGAATTGCCACAACCCAAATTTATTCGGTTTAAATACAAACCTCGAGTGTAATTCGGCAGGACAATTTAACGAACAAGAAATTCACCAAACTAATCAATTATTGACAGACGTCAAACTAGTCATATGGGTAAGGATAATGCGATTATTGGTTCGAAAATGAATAAGTGAAAAAACCACTAGTGCATTTGTCGCTGGAAAGGTTGCAGGTAACTTTTGCCGCTGTCAAAGTGACAATTACACTGCGGCTTATGTGATTTTTTATACATGAGTTGAATTGTCACCGCAAAAAATGGGCTCATTGACCTTGGACGACCTTGGTAATGTAGTTTGACACCACAAAAATGGGATCTTTAACCTTGGATGACCTTGAGCATGTAATTTGACAAACAAAAATGTGCTCATTGACCTTTTATGACCTTGAAAAGGTAATTTTACACCCCAAAAAATGAAATATGACAACTAAATCCCGAAATACCGGGATCCCGCAGCATATTTGCGGGATTAATCCCGCACATAAATGGAGCGGGATCCCGCGGGATTTGCGGGACTGAGGAATTTGTCGACCAAGGGGACGACTCTGTTTACTTTATTAATGATACGCATAACGGAGAAGTTATTTTTTAAATAATTGTTAAACTTTTTTCGTTAAAAATGTATCTACTATGATTTTTGAGTCACTTTAGAAGTTCACCTTTTTGTGCTTTACATCAGGTGAGGATTTTTTAATTCTAAGTTAGGCTGAAGGTACTTTTTTGTTAAATATTGTGATAATTAGCGATTTTTTTTACACAGAATGGCTTATTTGCAAATTTATTTCAAGTTTTGCGGGATCCCGCGGGATTAACATCTAACAATCCCGCATATACCGGGATTGAGATTTTGCTGCGGGATTTGCATTCCCTAGTGACTACTTCTTATCGTTCAAGTTAAAAGCTTCTCTCTCGCCTCAAATTTCCGCTTACCGTTACACCACGTGTCGATTCGTATAAATTAAGTGTTTCTTAGTATTCTGACATTATACCTATCATCGTTCCCATAGGGGTAATTTTTTTCCGCCCCAACTTTTACCTCTGCTTTGTTACCACCATACTTTTTTACCGCTAATTTGTTTTAACCCTAATAAATTTTACTACTTGTTGTTAGGTTAGGAGATTAGCTTAGGTACGGTTGTTAGGTTTAGCCTTCCCCTTGAATAATTTTACCTAGTGGTTAAGAAGAATTGGTGGGAAAAAAGGAAACCTGGCAAAAATGGAGGAGAATCCATCTTTTAATTAAAATGATGAATACAAAAAGTTGTCACAAATTTAATGGAAGCCTTGTAAAAACAAGGTTCACGTTTGGGTTTGAACCCGCATCGTCGTTACAATCGGAAAGCGGCGGTTAGGATGCTGAGCGAAAAATTACAAAAGGAACCAACGCAACCCACGTCACAGCGTCACTTCTCTCCGTCGTAACCCGACACCAATAGACGCAAATTGTCGTCTTTGGAGAAAACGTCTATAGGATTTTAGAATTTTAAGGATAATTAAATACAAAATATAATTTTTATGTAAACATTTTTGTATGTATAACAAGTGCGCTTATTTTATGCTTTATGGTGCGCAATTATATTCTTGAATTATTTATGCGTTTTTATTCAGTCCTTGTAAAGACCTTCGCGATAATATCTACTACATGGTAGAGGCTTGAGTCGATCGACTATTTCATTCACGTGTTGACTTTGGTTTTGGGAGTATATAAACGGAAATTTGCGCGAAAAGACTAATTTGAGCCGAACGCGATATTTTAATAATCTGCAGCGAACAATGATTGCGTAAGCTCTCATAGTGTTACGTTATACCTATTTTATACGTGAAATAAAGTGATCACCTTGTACTTTTTATGTCTATTTTAAATGATACAAAATTGACCGTAAATTATAAAGTTAACGTACCGAGGTATAATAGACATGGCCGTTAGGTCCAGAATAAATTATCACTCGTCTAAATGGTAATGTTTCCAAAGCGTATCAATCAACTAATTATAAAGATTTATTGTGCGTTACCAATTCGTATGTGTTTATTGTTCGGCGCGTGGGAGTAATGTAACAGATACCTGCATCGTTTTGAACTATTCAGTAGTAACTATTTATTTTTTGCAATAAAAAATCTTGGAAGCCGATAATCATCAGAACTGAAGGTTCAATGGATACCCCCCGTATTAGCGGAGCTCCGCGCCCTGCCGAGATTTGTTCTGGGATGAAGACATCATTTGAATATGCTGAATATACTTTTATTCGATTTTCTTAAGAAAGAAAAAAGTCGTATTGCGCATGCGCAACACAAATTTTTTTCGGTATTCGTTTTACTTTTATCCAAGGTGCCTACATACAGAATTTCATGCAATTCGGTTCATAACTAACGGAGATGCCAAAAAGGCCTTCTTTATTTTTTCCCCTACATTTCCAATTCAGGGACTCCGATTTATAAATTTCATTAAAAATGCACCTGCAAAATTGTATCATCGGTCCATCCGTTCTCTTTTAAATCGATGGGCATACAGCCATCAAGCGAGCGAGCGAGTTCACCATAAATCGGAAACCTTCCAGTTATTAATGGACATCCAAATTAGCGGCACATTATTTTAAAGACTGCAGCGTGCTTTCTTTTTGTGCTGGTGAGTTTTTAAATTACGTCTTGCATTTTTTGGGGGTAAGATCGAGCCGTTTCAACGGGTGAGCGGCGCGTAACATCGACCTCCAAAATCAATCTGCAGCCATCGTTAATTTTCAAGCTGATGAAACTTGACCTACGACATAAGTACATTCGGCGACTAACACGAAGAGATTTCAAGGTATTCACGTAATCTTATTAGTGAATTAAACAAAACCACGTACAGTTTCGTAAGTTTTATGTGAGAAGTCGACGAGATTTGCTGAACACCCGGTATCTAGAGCGTTTTAAGTTGGGCGCTTCGTTACTAAGCAGTTTCTGAATGTACTTATTTAGATGAGGAGTGAACTTTGTGTGTTTTTGTTTTGTTTAATTGTTTGTGTTACCTTCCCATAACGCAAGTAAGTTTCGTAGCGAATCGATCCCTATTGCAACCGTTCCTGTAGGAATATTTAAATTGTTTTTACAGCCACCGAAAGCTCTCTTGCCAGGAAAACTCAGGATCGAAACCGAGAAGGTCGTGCAGTTGGAAAATATCAACGTGATAACCGATTGCGCCGCTTGACTTCACATTCCAAATAACAAAAGGGCATTGCTGGACTGTCTAATTTAGAGATTTGATTCCGACTATTTGGATAAGTATAATGGTAATGATAAGATTAATGGCCGTTTGCACCGACAAATTTGAGCGGGGCTTAGCTTAAGCGTAGCTTTAAATCCATGGATTATTGGGACAATGGTTGCTATGGATTTTAAGCTAAGCTCACCTAAATTTTATCGGTGCAAATGGCCATAAGTCGAGATTACATCCGTTAGGTGCGCTCTTAAAAAAATTGAAGTTTGACATCGATCCTATATTTTTCCGATGTCGGGTCGAAATATGTTAAAATTTACATTTATGCACTAATTTTCTTGGGAAACCGACAGAACTAATTCCCTGGATATCCAAGAGGTAACTCATAAGCTTTTTAGACTTCAAAACTGGGTACCGGCAAAGGGAAAGTGATGGGTTTCGATAGTCAAAACTGCCACTACACAGATCTCCGAAACGGAAAGATGTACCAACAAAGAAAACGCCCTTAGTTTGAGCGAGACGCTATCATGAATGGGTTCAAACTAGACGTGAATATCTTCGTAACGCAGCGTCGGAAGTGGGTCGCAAAGGGAAAATCGTAGGTAGTCGAGACCCATTCCAATCGGATCATCCGTCACTGAGGTTTCTTATAACTCGAGAACGGAGCATCAGAAGTAGGTAGATAAAAGGCAAACATATTATCGACACTATTCCCTCCGGAGACAGGAAAACGCTCTAGCGGCCAAACCTTGGCGCCTTCTACTGAGGCGAACTATGACCTAATATTTTGACGTTTGAAGAAAGAAATACCTTAGTCTCAAATTTTTTGCGTTAGCTATTTGTATAAGTATATGTATTCTGATTTGTGTGTAAATAAATCTTGTTCATTATACCTATTATGTAATAGTGTGTTTGTTTTCAATACCTTCCGATAGTTCCATGAATTGCGAGATCTGTGAATTTTTTACCTCTGAAATCAATCAATTACTAACGACAAACAAACAAACAATAATAGTTTTGTTTATTGATTGATGAACTTTATTGATATAGGAAAACGAAGTGTGTTTTTCAAATCTAAGTACTGTAAGCTGGTATAGCAGTGTAAAATCCGTTTTCAAAACCAAATTACTGGCGATATATATCCATATCGCAATTATTAGTGCGTTTGATTGTCCTTTGGAATTACAACATCATCATCAATTACAGATCAGGTTTTTAATTATTCCACCCGTAAGCAAATGTTTACAAGTTTGTTTCTTTTTTTGCAGAAAGCAGGTGCTACTGGACCAGTAAGCGAAGATTAAGGTCAATTCAAGAATAATGTAGGTACTTCGCGGGGATACTTGTGTGCTACTGTCGCTACTGGTGAGGTAAGTTTCCTTTACTTCGTATCTTGTAGCCAAACCAAATGCAAGCGTTTGTAACTAAAACACGATAAAGAATAATCGACCTCGCGCGCATAACAAATTAATTACATGCTCACCAGCCGTAAATGAAACGAATCGCCATTATACAAGTGCTAAAGTAATTGCATCGTTAACAGTTGACTGACTCAGCCTTTAGCTGTAATTAATTGACTTTATTCTTGCACTAATCGATTGGCCGATTAGCTCTATTCAATACTACGAACAACAGATCATTTATTTTTAGCGCATTTTCCAACGAAGTTGGGTGCGATATTGCAGCCACTTTCTCTGTCCGTCCGTCTGTCCGAGGCCTTAACTACTCCTACAGTTCGTTCTTTTTGCATTTGGTAGCATATAGCTCTAGCACCTGAGCCAAGGAAAATCTTGACAATTAAACTGCGCATGCGCAGAGCGCTATGTCAACTTCCTTATTTATTAATATATTTTGTTGAAATTTTAACCACAGATACTTCTGGTGAAGGCAAATATATCGCATATAGTAAATCAGTTGTACGCATGCGCAGACTGCGCTATGGCAACTTTCTTATTTATACAGGTATTTCTTTGAAATTTTAGTCAAAGATGCTTTTAGTGTAAGCAAACATATCGCATATTGTAAACATCAGATTAATGCGCATGCGCAATATTAACTGTTATTTATCGAGATATCTTTTTGAAATTTTAATCACAGATGCTTCTGTTAAAGGCAAACATAACTGATATTGCAAAAATTAGATGTGCGCATGCGCAGTCAGTGCCAACTTCTTTATTTATCAAGCTATTTCCGAGGATATTTCTTTGAAATTTTAACCATATATGCCTCTAGTAAAGAAAATCACAGCGCACATAGCTATGACCTTTTGGGAAGTACTGATCATTCATCGAAAATGCGCTGAAGTTACTCGGGGAGGTTTACCACTAGACCGAACCTGAAAAGTTGAAAAAAAATAGGGATAGTTCATAGGCAACACACACTACTTTCTATCAGAAAACAATAAGTATGTATAGGTACCCAATAATATGGTGTGTATTTGACGTTAGTGTCATTCAAGTGGAAAAAATAATTTTATTATTATCGGGCCACCCCTAAATAGAACTGACATATTCGCATCGTTTTTTCCGAAGGCGAAAGATTACGTTTAACAATTATTTTCACAAAAATTGAGAATTTTATTGTCAATATTTAGGGGTTGATATGTTTAAGATACACAAGAAACGAAGAAACTCCTTTAGCGCAAAAAAGGTAGGTGTGCACAATCAACAAAACAACGGCTGAAGCCATCATTTCGAAGGCAGTAGCTGTGGGGGGAGGGGGTGAGATTCCGGTGATTCGATCAGCGTGAGGATTTCGGGGGAACTCGACCCATGTGGTAACGTGCGTTACTACTTGAACTGCTTCAGGAAATTCAAATTTGTTTCTCTGGCTCCTGGAGGGCCTGTTGATTAAACCTTAAGCAGTGTGCTTTTGAGAGCTTTTGTAGAGATCTTGAGAAAGACTGTCAATTTTTTTTCAATGTTTCAACGAAGCGACTAAATGGGGGAGGGGGGGGGGCGCTGCGGACTGTTACAGTTCACTTTATCTCAAAGAGAAATTGAAAAGGAGAGATGGAGTATGCGTTCGATATCGTAATCGGTCCATTCGTTATCAAGATATCGTGCTAACGGACGAACAGACGGACAGACACCGCAAAATTATAAACACCCTAGGAGCTCGTTAATAATAAAAATAAAATGTCCTAAAACAGATCCTTGTGGAACTCGCATATTAACAGGCAAAGCTATGGATAAAAATTTTGTAATAGTGGAACCAGTTCTAAATTTAATTTCCACTTGTTGACACCTTCCAGAGAGATATGATGAAAACCAATCGGCAACAACGCCTCTGATACCGTAAGTGTTTAATTTTTGCAATAGTAACAAGTTGCATATTTGGTTTAAGGTGTTCGCGTTTATAGCCATTTACATAACAAGGAAATATTGAAATACGGGGCCGCCAGTCCAGAAGTGTTCTTTTACTGACGACTTTTGTATTAAATTTTACCCGAAATCGTATTTTAATACAACATTTCAATTTTCATATAGAACTTTTGATTAATGCCAATCTGTCAGTGATGACAGAAGTCATTATAGACATTACCAATGTGACAGGCGGGAGGAAAGGTAGTGTATTTTTTATGGTCATGGAAACTAAAATTTCTTAACATAAAGTAGGCATGAAAATTAGGGTTTCATGACAATTTTGGGCAAAATAAATTGTTATTACGAAAGTGTTTGGGGTACAAAGTGCAAAACATTACGTTGCGCTAATTTATTAATCAGAGGTGTGTATCCAATTGTTTATATGAAGTACGAACAAAACGGCTACAGGTAAAAAGGTTAAGGCAATTAATATATATATATAATCGAAAATTCCCTTATACCTGTTGGGTATTACAGGTTGTTAACATTAACATATTGTCTACTTACTGTTAGGTTAACAATAGGAAACAAAAATAACATATGCTCTAATTCACAAAACTCTTCCATTCACTTCTGTCTTTGGCCACTTCCTTCGCATTTTTGACTGTTTGTCCTCTTCTTATTATTATTTTATTCACCTCATTGCTCCATGTCTCCCTTGGTCTTCCTGGTCCTCTCCTTGTTTTTATGTTTGTTTCCCATACTGTCTTCGTTTGCATCTTTTCGTTCATTCGTTGTATATGTCCCCACCAATTCAGTTGTTTCTTCTCTATATGTTCTTGTATTGATTCTATGTCTAGCTCCTCTCTTATACTGGTGTTTCTTAGTCGATCTATTCGGGTTACTCCTTTCACTGCTCTTAAGAACTTCATCTCAACTGCTTGTAATTTGCTTTTCATGTTCGTTGTGAGCACCCACGATTCGCTGCCATATGTTAGAGTCGGTCTGTATATAGTTTTGTACACGGTCATTTTTGTTTTGGTTCTTATTTCTTTTTTCTTAATAAATCGTTGGTTCATCGCGTAGTAAAGTTTCATGGTTTTATTTATTCTGTCATCTACATCCATTTTTTGGTTACCATTCCTCTCAATGTTCACTCCAAGGTATTTTATGTTTGGCACTTGTTCTATTACTTTGTTGTCTACTGTTATATTCAGCACCTCTTCCTCTCCCTGTGATATAATCATTACTTTTGTTTTGTTTATGTTCATCTTCATGCCGTGTGTCTTCAATGTTTCATTCCAACTGTTTATGTTACCTTGTAGTCCGTTTTTTGTATTGGCTGCTATCACTATCACAAGTTACATTTCGGCATTTATACATTGCGGAACATCAGTAATTTATTACTGTGAATAGCTCAAAGTTCAATCAATTAAAATCACAGTAAGCCTGAAGCACGGTGTATTCCTGAATCGAATTGCGTCAATAATAATAATAAAATAATAATAATCATGTCTTTTATTAGTTACACATCTTGCAACAAAATTTATAACAGAAAAAAAATCGTGTAACTAATTGGGCGAAGTTCAGATGACAGTAGTGAAACCCACTGCCTCTGCTCTTCCACTTAACCCAGTATATTACTTACATTATAAAGGGATGACAGATGGCTTCTAATTATAAATAATAAAAACTAAATAATGAAAATTATTGTTGACCAGTGCGGTACAAAAATTATGAAATGATTATGGACGTAACAAGAATGATATTAAATAGGATTACTGTTACTATATAATATATTATGTTCCTAATCAGATGTTCATTGGTTACGGATCTGGCGTAATCATCTTTCGAAATTAGTACCTACTCACCAAGCAACCCAATTTAACTGGTAATAAAAGAGGTCCATTCGTATTGCCTAAGACGTTCCATTATCCAATTTCCCAAATTGCTGCTGCTTTCCAAAAGAGAAATCCAAATGAAAATTGGCGGAAACTATGAGTTTTTCTTATTTAGCATGCAGCGGGTGTGTAAAGTTTTGAATAGGAATTTGTAGCAGGTGTTTGATTAATTACGATTAATTCATAGCCAATGTAAGGAAAACTGGAATTTACGTCGTATATACATACATCGTATTTTTATTAATACATTCAAACCCGTCAATTTATATGACTAGGTATTTATCTGAGAATGATCAAGCCTGAGCATCACGGTTGGGTTTAGATAATAAGAGGAGGTAAAGAACCAACGTCCCGCAAGGTCTATTTATGACTGAGCTAGCCGTGGTATTCATTATTTCGCTACAATGAATGAATTGTTAAAGTAAAGTTTTTACCAGTGCGGTAGAGAATAAAATTTATTTTTAACCCTTGTAAATGTAACTAGCCGGTTACCTGTCGAATCCATTAATAGCATTGATTGATTGATGAAAATTCCAAAGACGATAGTAAATAGTCAGATAGTGACATGTATATGCTGCTTACCTAGACTCCTTATCTTTAGCATAAGCACAAAGTGAATCAAACTTCCACTAGTGGTGTCTTATGCAGTTTTCTTACGAAAATTACGACCGCGAGCATTTATTTCTAAATGCGGGACAAACCGAAATAGGTCGGAAGACATTTATAGAAAGACTAAATTTCCCATAAAAAAATTTCACGACATTTATAAATAATAAACAGTTAAAGATGGGTATGTTTTTCCGCAATACCGTTGAATACCAGGCGGGAATGTAAAACGTTTCAACTTTATGCTATCCATGATCCAAGCATTTCAACCTGCTGAAGTCTATGAAGGTTCATGTGACATTGATTTAAAATTAGAAGGTACTGTAAATATTTTGTCTTGTATTCAGTAGGAATTAAAATTGGTATTTTAGAGGTACCGTAGAATTTCTTTAGATTTCAATTGTGACAAGGAATAGTGACTTTCTCTGCTCTGGAAATCTGTTATCCCATTGGCTGATGGGTCACTTGATCAAATTTCTCTTGAGGGCTAGATTTAAATAGCTAGGTTTAACATTCCTTTTTTTCAACGTGTGCACTTTATGAGATTTATTGGGGCTG